ATGGAAAATATCATTTTTTCACCCAAATTCCAAACCTTGGATGTTTGATTGCTATTTTTTTCCATTGAAAATATTTTCCAACTTTTGAAAATATGCCTAATTTTCCTGGTTTTTAAGATATTATACATGCCAATCAAACACGCTCTTACATTTTAACTGCACTATAATAATCATCTGTTATTCAATTACCATCTAATTAAATCCTTCAGAACTTGATGCAGTGAAGTCTTTCCAATTAACATAATAATTTCGAAATGTATTTTTCGATTCTACTAAGGATGACAGGCAAGATTCAAACTTTTTAACCTACATATGTCAGTACTTCACCTACGTTCAATCAACTATGATCAACCAAAAGAAATTGAGTAAATTTCTGAATAGAAAAGAGTAAAACCTAGGAAAAGCACAATAAAAATTGACAAGAACAGAAACAGACCTGGGAGAGTGCAAGAGGCCTAGCTTCAGAGGGCCGGAATGGAGCTCGGCCCATCGGAGAGAACAGACGTTAATGGTGAATCCCAATCCTTCCGAGTAAAATCTTGCTGCTTTAGGAACATCCTTGTGTAGCTGCACTATGTATCTGAATGTTGCTGCCGCCATTTCTCTCTCCTCTCTCTCTCTCTCTCTCTCTNATTCTACTATCCACAGAACAATTAGTCATGACCACAAGAACAGGGCATAGCTACATTCATTTATTACAAGTCGAAAACAGTATCATAATTTGATCAGAAATGCTTCATTTTCTAGACTTCATCTAAGAGACCTCAATATTTATTTCAGTTAACAAAGATAGGACAGAAAGAGCATAACTAGAGTTAAGAGTGGCATGCTGAACCATCTGAACAACAACTAAATTAAAAATAGGACATTCATGAACTATGAGCACGCCCTCAAGTAAATTCTGAGATTTAAAACCGTAGCCAATTTTTTTCTTCATGAACCCGGAGTTCCTTACAGTTCAAGGGAATTGATCTCAGATTAGAAAACAAAAGTGCAGGGGAACTAAACAGGCTTGGCATGACCTTCTATCTTTCCGTCAAAGAAGAACTAAAGAAAACTATTTAATTAATCGCCTTTTGCGCATAGAGAAATGATAGAGCAGGTTAACTACTCTCTTAGGAATTGGAACTTCTTTTCCTTATTTGCATTAAAAAGAATAACCTAGTTATTGGATGATGATGATGATAATAATAATCTGCAAGAATCACATCTTTAAAATAATAAACTGTGAGCATGCTCCCAAGAAAGTTACGATGAAAATCATACTGTATCATTCAACTTAATGCACAATTAAAAACCTATTGCACTTGCACCTTATAAATTTTGAGCACTGGTTGAAAATGCAAGTGTAACACAATGTCACCGGATAGAACTGGGTAATCCTTTAACATTTAGCCAGTTGAACTCATCGCAGTTCAAGAATGCCAGCACTCACCCCATAC